CAAGCCATGGCCAATTCCCAGAACTTAGTTCCTCCTAGGAGTAGCGAAATCGTGGCCTCGAATGGATTCGCTCTGGTCGTTTTCACCATGAGCTATGTGCTGTATTTCGTAATGTGGGCTCTCGTGGCCGCCATTCCCTGCCAAGACCGCTCCCTCCACACCCATTTCTTTGTGGCTAATCACTTCCTCTGGGCTGCCCCGCTCCTCTCGCTCCACGACAGGATTCTCGAGGAGTCTAAGAGGAAGGAGCGGAAGAATTCTTGCGGGTTGTTGAAGGAGATTCATGGGATTGAGAAATGCGCTCGATACCTCAATGAATTGACCGATTCGGTCCAATTCCCGTTGTCTGAGGAACAGGAGAAGGAAGTGAAGGAGAGAGTGGACGAGCTTAAAGTAGTGTGTGATACACTTAAGGAGCAGCTTGACCCGTTGGAGCGTCAAGTAAGGGAAGCGTTCCACACGATTGTTCGATGCCGGGTTGAGGGGTTCGACTCCATGGGACAAACAAGTCACCAATGATATGTTATCATTTTTGCCCGCTTTTTTCCTTTTGCTATATATGATATACCTGTATTGTGAGTATATAATATAATCAAGTTTTTTTTTTCAGCATGCCGGTATGCACATTTTGCTTGATTCATACATGTTACAGAACCTTTTTCTTTTTTTAATTTTGTGATGCTCTGTTCATATCTCTTTGCAGCATTTAATATATGTTTATGAGTTTTAGTAGTAGAAACTTGTGTTTGTGTATATGTTGTGGTCCTCTGGTAATCAAAATCAGTTCTCCAGCATTTGATCGTCTATGTTCATTGAGGCCAATCTGAATCAAGGGCTTCGTTCTGGTAAGTCTACCCGGAATTCTTCACTCCTTTTATGTTCCTTTATATGCTATTCTGAACTTGCCATTCTCCCCGACTAGTGTGTTTATGATGCGGTTTCCATTCATTGGGTTCCCGGGAGTTTAGTTGTCCAATCGTTAGAAATTGAAGGGGAATATAGGAGGGCCTTTTCTTCTTGTAGCCTAGCTAGCAAAGGACCATAAGGAAGGAAAGTAGCCTAGATTACCCATAGCTGATCAGCTCTAGCTAAGGGGGTGAGGATTTCAACTCGTGACATAATCTGAAAATGACTAAGTTTTGTGGTCAAGAAGTATAATTTGTTTTATATAGTCTAATTTCAATACTTCTGGATGCATGGTATGACATTGCTACTCACACCATTTAATGTGACTTTTAGTTGATTTATTCTAGAAGGGTTTTGTTATATATGAATGATTGAAAATTCAAATTTCTGTTCAAAAATGGCTATTTTCTCAAGAATTTGGATTTTTTCATAAGTGGAATGTCAAATGTCAATATCTCACCGCCGGGGCTCAATCCTATGACCCTCCCTCAAGGTGAGGGACAGAGGTGTCAATTGAGCATAAGGTGCTTAGTCTTCGATCTCTGGTCATTCTTTCCAAATTTTACCCTTATGACCAACTGAGTCGTCGGGTTAATTCATGCCTGCATTACATGAAATTTTTTCCAATTTGGAATTTGGACTGCTTCTGGTCTTCTACACACAATTGTTGACCTTCTTACCTTTCTTCGAATTTGGACTGCTTCTTCTTCTTCTTCTTTTTCTTTCATTGGATCCGTGTGTTTTGTCTTAGTGCATGGTTTTTTTTTTTTTTTTTTTTTTTTTTTTTTTCTAGTTAAAAATCAGTTACGTGATTGGTTAAAAGAGATGAGTCTGAGGACCAATTCCCTTGAATTTTAAGCAAGCGAATCCGACTCTTATTTCTTCTAATTATGTCTGAATTGTGATAGAACTGAGTGTTTCTATCACCATTCTTAATCCAACACATTCTAACTTTCTGGAACCAAATGGTTTCTTCTTCATCTAAAACCTCATTAATGTTTGAAAATGTTGCAAAAACACCTCCGTGTTCCATTTTCTGCTTTTTAAGGGTCAAATAGGCCACTCAATTGCACACACAATTGCAATTAGGCCATTGAACTAAAAAAGAATGCAACTGAGCCATTGAACAACACAAAAACATGCAATTTATCCCAAAATGACTTGTTTACCTGTTGTAGCAAGTTACCTATTTTTTAATTAATTTTTAAAAATAATTTTTAATTTTTAATAAATAATTAATTTAAAAAAAAAAAAAAAAAAAAAACAGAAACAGCCGGCCGGAGACAAATCGGCCGGCTTCGTCTCCATGGCCGGAGACGAACCTCCGTCTCCATAGCCGGAGACGAATGTCCCCTTCGTCCCCATGGCCAGGAGACGAAACCTTCATCTCCTGGCCATGGAGACGAAGGACGTCGTCTCCATGGCCGAAGACGAAGACCTTCGTCTCCGGCTATGGAGACGAAGGTCTTTGTCTCCATGGCTGGAGACGGAGGTTCGTCTCGGCCATGGAGACGAAGTCGGCCGGAGACGATTCGTCTTCGGCCAGCTGTTTCTGTTTCTGTTTCTGTTTTTTTTTTAATTTTAATTAATTAATTATTAAAAATTATTTTTAAAATTTAATTAAAAAATGGGTAACTTGCTACAACATGTAAACAAGTCATTTTGGGCTAAATTGCATATTTTTGTGTTGTTCAATGGCTCAATTGCATTCTTTTTTAGTTCAATGGCCTAATTGTATTTGTGTGTGCAGTTGAGTAGTTGAGTGGTTTATTTGACCTTTATTCCTAAGTTATATCTTTAATGAGATTACTAAAGCAACCATGACCCTGGCAAGTCCTCCTAGAATTTAGTGTAGTCTTCCCTCAAAAGTCACAATTTTTATACCGTGGATCAGGGTTTGCACTGTGTATCCTGATCCAATACACATAATTCATGTTTATAATGCACAGAATTCATGTTCATAATACACATATACATAAACACGATATAATGAATATGAATTTTGTATATTATGAACATGAATTTTGTATAATACACATAAACACTTAACATAATACATAGAATTCATGTTCATAATGCACATAATTCATGTTTATTATATCGTGTTTATGTGTATGTGTATTATGAATATGAATTCTATACCTTATGAAGTCAAATTTTGTGTATTAGACCAGGATTCACGATATAAATTACCCAAAAGCTTTTTTTCCCATTTTTGTCCTAAATATTTTTTTCCCATTTTTGTCCAGCTTTTAAATTTGTCCTATTTCTGTCAATACATGTAATTTTTGTCATATTATAGTCTTTTTCCTACGTGGTTGAGGAATGAGGAATTTAAGGAAAAAGTAGCAGCCTTGACATAAAACAATTTTGTACATAAAATTATCAAGACTTTGAGATTATCCATCTGTAGTTGGTAAAAAGGAATTATCTTGGGCAACCTTATCAAGTTGGTTAGATTGTTATTGGGTAACCACAAAATTACACGTTTAACTGTTAGTGAGAGTGTTCTATTGACATTATTAATTTAAGCCAGTCAATTATAGTAGGCCTATGAACTTTTTTGTACTTTTGTTATTATGATGATATTGGAAAACTTCAACATTGCAACAAATTAAATAGGCATAATAATCACATAATGCTATAACAATTAGGATACTTAAATTAAAAACCCATCTACCAAAACCACAAGCCTTTAAAAGGTTTCCAAAAATGATTTTGAAACATAATAAAATTTAAATGCAGTAGATGAGGTACAAAAATACACAAAAATATAACGACATTGCATATCCAAAGACATCAGAAGCTAACTAGTGAACATCTCTTCCAAACCACCCAGCATGCATCCATCCTCCAAATCCACCGGCTCCCAATCTGACCTAAACGGGAAAATAGTCTGATGAGAATAGGAACCGCTCACTTGATGACCATACCCTATCATCAGTGCCATGTCCGCAAGACTGCACCCTATCAACCTCCTATTCTTCTTATCAATTTCCACTACTTTCTTTATCTCCCACCTGTAGTCTTCTAGCACCCAAAGACGCAATTCTTCCCATTTGTACACGGATGTAAATCCTAGCTTTCCATTGTACTCAACGATTGCTTCACAGCAGCAGCTTCTGTTGTCTTCGGTTGTCGTTATTGGTCCTAGAAACTCTGAGTGAGTTTCGGTTGCAGAGTCGAAAGCCCAAACTGTTTTGCGATCTGTTAGCAAATAGAGTATGCCGCCTATACAAACACTTGGTTGAAAGGAAAAAACACTGCAGCCTTCCATTATGATGTTTTCCGATTGTCTCCATGTCCAGAATTTTGAATCGAAAATCTGGCATATGAAACCTGTTTTCCCGGATTGCCTAAAAATTGTAAAATTATAAAATAATTAGTTTAGCATTATTAGAATTATATCTCAATACATATAATAATAAATTGTATATAATTTATAGTTTAATAAGATTCTAAAGAATTTAAAAAACTCACCTTGACAATCTAATTATTTTGTACTGAAGGGGATTAGATTTAAGAACTGTCAAACCAAACCAGTTCGGGAATATGGCTCGTCCTCTTGGGGTAGGCAACTCAACACATTGCCTAGTGCTTGGCTTACAAACATAATAATGATGGGATCTATCTTCATACTTTCGACAGCACAAGATTCCTTGTTCAGAAGATGCCAAAATTGTCATCCCGCAAAAACACTCCATAGAAATACCTGGAACCCCCAAGGATGGATTGATGGATACAAAGGTGTAAGAACATCTATGGGGTTCAAGTTTTTCAACAATATACCCTATGAAATTCTTTGTTTTTTCAGCGTAATTTCTAATGAACCACGATTCCTCAACCAACTCTTTTGACTCCTTACTAACCACTTTGAATGTATCTAGTGTTTCTAACGTTGCTCGACTCAAAATCTCGAAAAGAATTTCTTGATTGAGATGAAACTCAGAACCCATATCCATTGAGACACAAAAGTGGTATATGGTTGTAAAAGGAGTGTTGTTGATGTATCAGATTAAGAACAAGACAGGAATTTGAGGTTATGATGTTAGGGTAGGAAAAAAAATTGCAATTTCAGTGGGAACAAAAGTTGCCGTGTAAGAAGGAATGAAGTTGCTGACTTGCTGTGAAAGACTTGCTTAAATAATCTTGGAAATAATGATTACTGTAAACAATTAAAGTAATTTATGATGCCTATATCTCCTAATCCAAGAAGAATTAGAAGAAATTTGAATTATTTATTCCTTGGGCTTCAAGAAATAAAAGTAAGAAACGGAGATCTAAAAGAACTTAAAGAACTAAGAAGCTTGAATTATGTTTTCAAAAAAAAAAAAAAAAAAAAAGCTTGAATTATTTGTTCCTTGCGCTTCAAGAAATAAAAGTAAGAAATGGTAGGTGAATTTAAATTTAAAAAGTGACAGTGTACCTTAAACCGCTTACTATACGATGGGAAAATTGGAGGGGATTTGCAAAAATGGGTGATGCCTGTATTAGTGTTTGTCTTTATGCATTTTAGAAGTGTAATAGTGCACTTATGTGAATGTATTTATCCCGGGTTGGCAGTACACTTTATTCCTATCCTCCCGAAGACATGCATAAAAAACTTGCTAAAAGTATATGCATTCATGAGAATTATCCATCTTCATGATCATAACAAAATTTGTGTGTGTTGATAAGGTAGTTAATCTGAAAATGACTAAGTTTTGTGGTCAAGAAGTATAATTTGTATTATATAGTCTAACTAGTATTGTCCCGTGCGATGCACGGGCTAGATATTAAAGATTTGTTTGTAATGTTAGAATAGGTAAAAAATGTTTTTAATAATGGTATTTGAAGTACAGAAGAAGAAAACATGAATCACAATTTAATTGTTTAAAATTACATTTTTATTAAGTATATGACAAAATAATTATGATATTGTATTTACAATATTTAATTTAATAATTGAAAATAGTATGATACAAAAAGTTACTATTATTAATCGCAGCTAGCGGTATACATATTTGATCTTGAGTATGTCTACTCCTATATACTACCCATGCGATGCACGGAATGAATATTGGACAACATTATAATAATATTATTTATTAAAAAATACATAACCTAATATCAACATAGTTGCAATTCATATTCATATTAATATATATATATATATATATATATATATATATATATATATATATATATATATATATATTTACTTATTAATTTATGTTGTTATTATTATTATTATTATTATTATTAGTGTTAGTGTTATTGTTATTATTGTAATATATATATATATATATATATATATATATATATATATATATATATATATATATATATATATTACAATAATAACAATAACACTAACACTAATAATAATAATAATAATAATAACAACATAAATTAATAAGTAAATATATATATATATATATATATATATATATATATATATATATATATATATATATCATATGGCCGGTATTGTGAAAATTAAATGTTGTTAATACCAACATTTAACCATTAATATCAACATTTAATTTGCACAAGACCATATGACTTTATTATAATTCAGATTTCAATACTTCTGGATGCATATGACAATTGCTACTCACACCATTTAATGTTTCTAGAAGGGTTTTGTTGAATATGAATGATTAAAAATTCAAATTTCTGTTCAAAAATGGCTATTTTCTCAAGAATTTGGATTTTTTTCATAAATGGAATGTCAAATGTCAATCTATTACAAGATAACATCTATTAGGGAAAATGGCACTTTTTCCCCCTTTGTTACATACTTATAGCACTTTTTCCCCCTAAATTATTTAAGTGGCAGTTTTTCTCCCTGATATATTAAATGGACATATTTACCCCTAAAATAAATATTTCATTTATTTTTCTTCTCCAACAAATTATAACCACGATTTGAAAAAAATAAAATACATTAAGTGTTGAATTTAGAATATTTTAAAAATAAAAAAATAAAATTTTAAAAGAAAGTTTGAACCAACCGTTCAAATTGGATCCAAAATCGTGAACCGACGGTTCAAAATAAAACTCAAACCGCGATTATATATACTTATATGTGAGAGTCAATATAAATGCGGAAAAAAACATACACTATTTGCAAATATTATAATTCTAATTTAAGCTATTGCTAGTAGTTGTTCCGATTTGAACCTCCAGTTCACGGTTCAGGATCCATTTTTTTCCAGTTCACGATTTTAATAAACGGAAACCCAAATATTGGGTTATGTTATGAATCATAACCGAAATTTTTTAATTTGATTGCTATAGTGTTTGGTTCAGTTCGAATCGAACCATGGTCATCCCTACGTATAAGCAATAATTTGTTGAAGAAGAGAAATAAATAAAATATTTGTTTTAAGGGTAGAAATGTCCATTTAATATTATCAGGAGTAAAAACCGCCACTTCTATAATAATTGAGGGGGCAAATGTGAATGCATGAATAACTCAGGGGGAAAAAGTGCTATAAGCATATAACACAGGGGGAAAAAGTGTCATTTTCCCTATCTATTATATACTTTCTCTATCTATTGCATTTCAAATAGTCAATATCTTACTATCGGTTCGATCCTATGACCCTCCCTCAAGGAGAGCCACATAAGTGTCATCTGAACATAAGGTGCTTAGTCTTCCCCAACTAATTCATTCTTCCCAAAAGGTTGAATCTCCAAACTCAAGGGCCCCCACATCCCGACCCGACAGAATATTTGAGAGGATGTAAATCATGGTAAATCAGGAGTATATGGGAGGATGTAAATCATGATAACTGATGTATGGTGATTAGCCTTATGAAATTTTTTCCAAGTTGGAATTTGGACTGCTTCTGGTCTTCTACACACAATTGTTGACCTTCTTACTTTCTTCGAATTTGGACTGCTTCTTCTTCTTCTTTCATTGGATCCGTGTGTTTATGTTTTTTTTTTTCTAGTTAAAATTAAATTATAATAATTATATTATATATTACATTCTCCTATTAAAACCGCTACCTAATAATCACTTTATGTGGTATTTGTATTTAATTATTTTGTAATAAGATGAAAGTAATAATTCATTAATAATCATGTTTTACGGCCATTGAAAAAGTTATGACTTGTTTACTAATTGAAAATATCTTTATTTGCACCGATTTCTATTTTGAAAATTGAAAACCTAATCTTACACATCAGGTGTCGCGGTTGACCAAGACTTTAGTTATCACTTTGTAGGCCACATTTAGGAGAGAGATTGGCTTAAAATATGCGGCCAATTCATCGTTATTGCATGGACCATGATCTATACAATTGTGTGAATCATAAATAAAAAGTACATTTTTAATATACTAAAAGTACATTATTTATGTATGTAAAGTACATTTTTTGAAAATACATTTTTAATATACTAAGGGTACATTCTTTTATATAATGTACCTTCAATACAAAAATAATGTACCTTCAGTACAAAAATAATGTACTTTTAATATATTAAAAATGTACCTGATATTCATGGTCCACACAATAATTTGCCCTTCGTCAAAGTAGGCCCCACAAGACCCCAAAATTTCAATCGTTATGCTGTGCATTCGTATGCACCATGCATGGTGCATACGGATGCCAAAACGACGTCGTTTTATTAAAAAACGCGCGTCTCCCCTTTAAAAAAAATTCAGGTTCGATTCCCAGCAACAACATTATATTGTTCATTCATTCTGGAATTATAGTTCATTGATTATGGAATTATAGTTCATTGATTATGGAATTATAGTTCATCGATTCTGAAATTTTAGTTTATAGATTATGGAATTTTAGTTCATTCATTCTGGAATTTTTAGCTCATAGATTAGATTATGGAATTATAGTTCATCGATTGTGGAATTATAGTTCATCGATTATGGAATTTTAGTTCATATGTTGTTGCTGGGAATCAAACTTGATTTTTATTTTTTAATGGGAGACGCGCGTTTTATTAAAACGACGTCGTTTTTGCATAATTTGCCCCAAAATTTTTGGTAGAAAGTAGCTGGAATGCCATCCGGCCTTGGACTGCCAAATTTTTTCATACCCATGACCGCCTTCTTAACCTCCTCGTTGCTCACCCTCCTCATTAGATTACCAGCTTGGGAACTAGATTTTACGTGAAATCGCTAGGCCACAGGTCTCAATTCGTCCTCAGTAATCCTAGTAAACTTGCCAAACAATGTAGAGAAAAAAAATAAGTTACGTGATTAGTTAAAAGAGACAAGTTCGAGGTCCAGTTCACTTGAATTTTAAGGAAGCGAATCTGACTCTTATTTCTTCTAATTATGGTTGAATTGTGATAGAATTGACTCAATTGAGTGTTTCTATCACCATTCTTAATCCAACACATTCTAACATTTTGAAACCAAAGAGCTTCTTCTTCATCTAATACCTCATTAAGGGGGTGTATTCAATCTGTTAGTGTTTTAATTGCTCAAAAAATCCCAACATATAATTGGCAATATTATTATGGCAAATTAAGATAGGGTTAGCTTGGTGTCGGTTTGTTCTACAGTGGACTGATTGATCAGATACAGCAACAGAGGGACTGACACTGAAGATCTGTTTTAAGAAGATCAGATGTTTCCTTTTTGCAGAACGCGGTTTAAGAAGTCAGTTTTGGAAAGAAGATCAGCGTATCTGTCTTGGAAAGGTATGGACCGGATCTTTAAGATTACATTCTTCTTATATCGTCCTACCATCTACAATCAGAGATATCTATGGAGAGTGTTCTTATTATGGAACTATAAGTACTCTTATTCGATCAAGAATTAGGGTTACACTTTTGAGAAGAAAGAAACACTCCGACATATACTAAGATATCACATCTTTGATTATCATGACTCTTCTCAAGACAATTTTTTCTTGTTGATTATGATGAAGAACTTGAGAAGAGATATCGTTGCTTAAACGAAAAGGACGCTAAGATCACACAGTTGTGGGAACAACATTGGACTGCGTCATTGAAGTGGACTGCATCAGAGTTAGCTCTCCAAGTGAAGGGATTTCATTGGACTTCTGTATGCACGGCTCTCCATCTTCAACAATCCACTAAATCAGTGTAGACTGGGTACGTACCTTGTGTGGG